ACAGGTGTGGCTTGCAGACGACTCTGCTGGAGGAGGGAGAATCGCGCAGTTGTAAGACTAGTACAAGCAATTGATTAAAGAGGGAGAAAAGTTTGGATATCTCGTGAACGGGTCAAAGAGCTGGCTGATTGTTAAGTCTGAGGCACTTGCAGATGAAGCAATGAGGGTGTTTGGAGATGAATTAATATAACAACTGAAGGTCAGCGCCATCTAGGAGCAGTCATTGCGTCGCAAGAATACAAAGATCAGTATTGTGAGGAGAAAATTCGCATATGGAAAGAGGAAATCGAACGGCTCTCCGAAATTGCAAAGAGTCAGCCTCACACATCATACATTGCCTTCACAAAAGGGTACAAGTCAAAGTTCACCTACTTCATGCGCTAAATAATTCGTTTGAGGATTATGTTGATCCAATCCAGGGGGCGATTGACGACTTACCTCTTCCAACTTTGTTCGGTCAATCAGAGCCTCTCCCCAACGAGGTGCGTCTACTCGTCACCTTAAAAACGGCTCAAGGGGGTCTGGGCATGCAAGATTTGAGAGCTAAGGCGCCACAACAGTTTTCTGCCTCGAAGTCAATAACTTCTGCGCACGTAGATTCTATCACATCGCAGAATACATTTATGGCGCCAGACGAAAGCTCTACGGAGGAGCTTAAGAGATATCATCAGTCACTTAAGACGGCGCGTGACAAAGAGAAAATGGAAAGCGTTGCGTCAACTCTTTCCTCGGATCTGCTGCGACTAGTTAATCAATCGAGAGACAAGGGCGCAAATTCTTGGTTAAATGCGATGCCTCTCGCAGATCAGAGCTTAGCCCTTAATAGGCAGGAGTTCAGAGACTCGCTACGCCTACGGTATAATTTGCCTCTAGTCGATATACCAAGTCTAGGTGTGTGTGGGGATAAATTTACTGTAGGCCATGCCCTCTCATGTAAAAAGGGGGGCTTTGTAGCGCAGAGACATGATGGTGTCCATGATTTATTAACGGCATTCATCAATAAGGTCTGCAACAATGTGGAAATTGAACCACGCCTTCAACCCCTCGACAACGAACGGCTACATTTGAGAAGTACCGTCACAAGCTCTGAGGCAAGATTAGACATCAAGGCGGGAGGTTTCTTTCCTGAAGCATCCTGCAGATAAGATAGCTCAGAAGGACACCAAGCCGTATAACACTGTTATCGCATGGCTCAGGACACAAATCTCTTTCGAACTTCTAAGATCGGTACACGCATGCGTGAGGGGTTCACGAAAGCCTTTTCACAGCAAGATAGGACACTCCTTAGACTACAAAATAAAAGTCGCCACTGCGGGCATCTTAAGTTTTTTTTAGGGCAATTTTCAAGCTAAATGCTTTTGTACTATACATGATTTTGAATTTTTATGAAATTTCGTATATTAATTTTATCAATTGTATTATGTAAATAATCTTGAATTGTGAATAAAGTAATCCTTTCAGTTGTCGGCAAACTTCATGTTTTCTCCCTTGATCGTGAATAAACATTCGTGAAGCTGTATAGCTTGTTGATCTTGCATCATACCACGCCGAACGAGCCACTAGAGCGTGAAATCTCACTTAGCAACAAAGCAACTCTAAACCAATCAAACCTCATTCGAATGTTCTCCACTAGTTACAACTAATTCATATTTAAGACGAACATGTCAACCAGATTTACTTAAGTTTGTCATATAATACTCAGCATAAGTATGAGTGGAATTTCTTAGAAAGGAACAGTCTCTATTTTCATGATGTTTCTGTTTGATTAGGAGTATTGCTGACAAGGCCAACCATTGTCTGAAATACTACAATCAAGTCATATTTGGGGTCATAGGATAGCATGATTTTAATTCGCCAAATTTACATTTTCCTTTTGTATTTTCAGTGATATTTAACAGCATGTATGACTGTATGAAAACCTTAAGGGTCCTTATGTTATTCTTGAAAATATAAAATGGTCATCTTATATCTATATATACATAGAATTTATACAATTAAATAAATGAGATTAACCTTTGCCTGTGCTAGTTATTGTACTTTTAAATAAAAATTGCTATTATTGAAAAGAAATCAAATCTTTCTTATTTGAACGTCAACCAGAAACCCTTTACTTATTGCCTAATAATGCCTGCTTTAGTTTCAGCTGATTACCCATAAGGAGTCATTTGTTGCTCATAGCTTGTGCGCTGTGTCATCAAAGAAGCAGTGGTAGGTACACGACCAAGGAACGAGAGGATATTCTAAAAAAAGTGATTCTAAAGTAGTATAAGACTAAAATGGAATGCCAAAAAGTAAAATGCAGAGCAGACTGTGATAAAAATTGAGCAAAGTCGATGAAATATGCAAGCTGTACTTCAAGTATTTTCTAAGCCTCCTAAGAAAAAAATAGAAAGTAATACGCGGGGAATTCGATGAATTCTTTAATATAAAAAATAAAGAAGCCTTAATCCATCTGTCAAACACGCAAAAATTTGAAATAATTCCTCCAAGAAGATAGGGAAGATATAACTCTTGAAATTTCACTTTTCAGAAGACATACTGAGGCAAGTGTTGTCCTCCATGATTAGATACCATAATCCCATGAGGAGAGGGAGTGGGAAGAGCCCACTCTTCCCAATCCCTTATCCCTTTTTCCCGTACTCCGTCAATAACATTGCCCCATAATTTCCTTCTTGGCACACGCTGTTAGGAATGAAAATAAACATCTGACCTTTGTCCTCTCTGAAAACAATTGTAGTATCGGGGTCTACTCACGGTGATTTACACGTGCGAGCATGTAGAATTTGTTGGACTGAGGGAGAAAGAAATTAATTCGAGCACTTTGCCAAGTTGAGTCCCAGCCAGATCAGATATTTCACGCATTTGTTCATCAGCGAAGTTACGGGAAAATTGCCAGTGGTTTTTAGGCTCACAGCTCGGATCAGCGATTTCGAGAGTGTCCTATACGCAGAATGGGTGAAAAGGACAACTGGAAATTGCAGCGCGGTTGTCAGGACGGACGACCTATTGGTCTCTTCGTCAGTAACAGCAGATTCTCCTCCTAAAGCAGGTGTCCGCGAGGCTTGAAGGGATTCCACTTATATTCCAGCGGCTCATGTTTTCGTGCCTCTTTTAGCCATTACCTAAAGCCCAGATAAGTTGTTCATCCTTCAAGAGTGATAACGTCGTTGCAAAATGTTTGTTGTTGAAGACAGTTGTTGGGAAGTCTTAATTATCCTGTGAAAACGGTCAAGGTACCAATTTCTGGTTGTACTTAAGAGTTTTCTCTGTAACTATCTCCAGTGAACTTCTGATTTCACTGTTTTAACGTAATCACCAGAATCGCGGGAAATAATAAACAGATGGTGTTCCAGGATTGGCTTCTTCAGTTGGTTGATAAAAGCGGCCTAGCTGAACTTCGTTTCATAAATTCCTATAAGCTATATAATTAAACTCGACTGCTCTCACTTTCTCGTCTTTTTGGCTAGAAAAGTTTGTTTCACTTAACTTAAGAGAGAATCGTGAGATTTTCTCTGATACTGTAATTAGTGATCAAGCACCCAGTTGGTCATACGAGAAAGACAGTAATCCCCGTGCTTTTGACCCAACTTCCTGCATGCCTCAATGCACAAATGAATTACAGCACGATTCATGATGAGGTGGATATTTTGATCCTATTACTCAGTATTTGTCCATGAGGATTTTTATCCTCATCTTATGATGAAGTTACTCATCACACTTTATATATTCACACTGTATCCCGGTTGAAGAAAATCTGTTCTAGCTTTATACGGCTTTTTTAGTTTCTTACTATTTTTTTTTTAGTTTTATTATTTCAGCTCGAAAAAGGTATTTTATATTTTACACCTTTACACTCCTATTTCTTTTTTTTCTCTTCCCCACATCAATTTTTATTCAAGTATTTTTGTTTCATATGTATCCGTGATTTGTACATCCGGTATTTTCGTGGATCGTCAAGTTCGAAACCTGAGAAACCTGAGAAATACACGATAAGAACTTCAGATAAATGTCACGAAAATAATTTAATTTTTTTTTTCAGTTTAGTGCGATCAACCTTTGCATTTTATTATTGTTTCATAACTATTTTTGGCTGATCAGATATTTTACAGATCTTCCCAGGCCGGCCTCAGTTTCAGTTTTTGGCATTTCAACATTTCAAGGATCATTCTTCAGAGCAACGATTTCTGTGTAAACTGTTTATGAAGTGCTCGTGGTGATGCAAGAAAAATATTTCCTGCTTGGGGCGTGCCTCTTACGTCACAGCGTGACAGAGAGAGACTGCATCGAGCACGAAACTAGGCACTGGGAACGATATCAGGATGTGACGTCAGTTATCGGAATGGCCGGAGGAGGAAAGTGTTCATCGGTGTGGGAAATGATACTAGTAACACTGTGAAGGGGGATGTTTGTAAACCAACACTGCACTTATATTCATGTTCTGAGTATTTCTGTACAGAATTTTTAAGCAAGTTATCCTTAACATTACTGATGCAAGATCTTTCAAAATCTGCTCAACTGAGTTAAGATTGTACAAGTTCGTAATAGCTGCTGCACACGCTTATGATCAAAATTCAAGATGTCTTCGTTCTTCAAACAACTGTTCCCCTTCATGAAAGTCAAGAAAAAGAAGGAATTTTCCTACATTATTCGTGGAGTTGACCCTAACACTATTTGGAGTCTTGTTGGTGAACTAGGTGATGGAAGTTTTGGGAAGGTTTATAAGGTAAGATTAAAATGCATATTCACTATTAATTTAAGCCGTTTCTGCACTGTAAATTCCAACGAAATCTTGTTTGGTTTGACTTGATTCAGCTTTGAGTTTGTCTCATAAGAAACACTTTACAACGCCTTGGGGAGTTACAGGAATATTTTTGTGGTAAATTCTAGAAACAATGTATGGATGCAAGTATTTCGTGAGAAAAATGTCTGTAAATTTCCTCATTAGTTAGAAGTTGTTCATGCAATTGGTCCGGCAAATCTTACAAATATTTTGAGATTCAGTTTTTATAGCCTCACCGGTGACAGAAATATGCGACGGCAAAGCCTAACATTTTGCTTATTCTGATCGTGTTTGTGCAATGTTTACTGAACTAACAATACAAATGCTATTTACTAATCAGTCGTTTGGATGTTTCTGTCAACTTTAATTTGCATTGTGGGATGCGGTGTAAGATAAATAGTTTTTAAAAAGCTTCAAATCACCTCTAGTATAGATTACTCACACATTCATCCCATTCTCCATTTGGAAATACTATTTCAGTGTGAAATATAAAATGGTATCCCTCAGGCATTTTGCACACAGGAACTAACAAGTTCAACAAAAAAATAATTACTGTAAATGGAAAGCTATTGAAGTATGACCCTTACAGTCGCCACATAAATGTATTCATGACATCAATGATATTGGTGGGCAGCTGTAAAGTGCTTCCTGCATAGGATAGCCTAAAAGTATCCAGAGAAAGTTTCTTGTGGTTTTATTGCTATTACTTCATGCAAGGAATCATTTTTTATCATATTAACTGAGAATCTGGCAACCATCATCTGCTTGATAACCATCTTTTATGCCCTCTCCTGAGATCTGATTTATAATTCTCCTGTTAAGTTGCTATACATTTTATCTTACTTAGTTAAGAGAATTTGGTATTTTATCAAGACAACTCAAGTTCGCCTGTTTTTATCATCTGATTGGTGTATAGCATAATGATCTTGTTTGGAAAAGTTGTTTGTTTATCACCTCTTGGGGTCAGAAGATCTATTTAGTCTAGATTCTCTGTTAAAATCATACATACATTTGTAAGGATCATCTGACACTTGTAAGGATTCAGATAGATCCTCTCAACTGAAACTTTTGATGTTAAAAAATCTTGCACAAAGCAGTATAGTGTGCATAAGGAAGTGCAAACAAAAAGCAAAAAGATTTTGAACATAATGTCGTGCAAAGTGTCAGATGTATTATCTGTTTGAAGTTTTTCACATTATTTCATTTCTCACATCAAAATTGCTAAAACTCATTAATGACACACTAGAAGAACAGGGCAACAATGCAAACAATGTTCACAAGGATTACACGGCATCATATCAGTGCTTGAACAGAAAATGTTCAAGGACAAATTCATGAGAATATTTTCAAGCCATCATGTTTATCAGGCCTGCATGTTTATGGTCTTCCAAATATTTTTTTTATAAGCAGGAAAAAATCTTTCTATACTGATTAGTATCAATATTGTCTTTTCAGAGTTGTCTTTTTCAACCATTAAACATTTTAAATTTGTCTCTCTTTCTGCAACAACAGCAAATTTCTCTATTATCATGAAATGAAGGTTAAATGAAGATTTTTATTGTTTGGGACATGATATTACATTTTCGTATGAACCTTATGGCCTGTGTGTGTGTCTATTTAAAGACACAAGACAAAAATCCCTGTTTGCGCTATGGAGCAGACAGGGCCAGAAAAAGATGTGAGATGCAAGCTATAAGAAGAAAGAAAGACAAGATAAAGTGGTGATCATGTGATACCATGCTTAGCGTCTGAGTTAGGTAAAAACAGAAAAAATATTGGTTCTCTATCATGACCTGCCTGGCTGGCCCTCTCAATCAGTAAATAAGTACATATCTGGTGGGGCATTTTAAGTCAAAGTATGTATTGAGCTTTAATTAATGTGATATAAAATAATCAGGTGGAAGTTTCAGTTGTTTGTTTCACTGAATTTGTTTCACTAAAATGTTTTACAGGCAGAACGAAAAACAGATAGTGTTCTAGCAGCTGCCAAGATCATTGATGTTAAAGATGAAAGTGAACTGGACGACTTTATGGTTGAAATAGACATTCTGAGTGAGTGTAAACACAAGCATGTCGTGGGAATGTATGAAGCTTACTACCATGAAAATAAGTTGTGGGTAAGTAGTTAGCAACTTATGTTGCAGAATGTATTAAATTATAATTACCTTAATTTGCTTACACAGAGCATGGAAAAAAACCAGGAGACAGTTTCCAGATACCCTTGAATGAAATGAATGAATGAAATCATTTTGTTAATTGTATTAATCTCTACTTAGTCTATAATGTTGATGCAACTTATTGTTGTACAATCAGGTCTTTTATCAAGTTATTAACAAATCAGATAACAGTGACGTAGGAGTCCAATTTGTTAATCATGTGTATGATTACTGACACAAATAATATATGATGCAAAGCCAAAGTTCAATGTTATATTTTTATTTATGAAAATTTTA